CTTTGAGGCTTCAAAACCTTTTACTATCCCCACTTCACTCTTTCTGCTTCCTGCTCTCAGCTGTTCCTGCCACTATGCCTGTCTACTGCCATGCTTCCCCAATAGGATGGGTGCGACTCTCAACCCTCTGGAACCATAAGCTCAAATAACCCCTTCCGCCTACAAATTGCTTTGTTCATGATGTTTTACCACAGCGATAGAAAGCAGACTGACACTCTGAAATAAAAAGACAAGAGACATAAAACCATAACATGTCAATCAACTTATATGAAAAAGCTGCTCTCAGTAGTTAAAGGTATAAAGACAAAAGAGATTGGTATTAAAAGAACTGCTTCTGGCTTCAATTAATATTCATTCGCTGGTAGTAGCCATTTTCATTTCCCGAGATCACTGTACATGAAATCTGATCTCATGTTCAATAGCATAAAAATCTGTAACGTATTTCTTAAACTATAAGTTCCACCAACAAGACTTGGTAAGTGTCTGCCACGTGCCAGACATTGTTCTAAGCACTGGGGATGTAAAAGACAATGAGTGCCCTTGTGGAGTTTACACTCTGATGGAAAAGAGGATAACTAAGTTGTACAGTGTAAGGTGACTACAATAAGGGAACAGCAAGAAAGAGGGGCTGCAATTCAGACTGTATTCTGGGTGAGAGCAAGACTTAGGAGAAGGAGATGAGGCAAAGAGCACAATAAGGGTCTACACAATTATCTAGAAACATAAAATGCTATATAAAGATACACCTGGAACCAAAAATAGAATGTTGGTTATTTTTTTTTTAATTAAAAATTAAATGCCATGCCCCTTTTAGACACTTAACACGCACTGTTTGCTTTAAATTTATTGTATTTATTTATTTTACTCAATTATTTTATTGTAGTGTGTTGTGGGTTTAGTGTGTGTTAATGTGGCCAGATGCACATAGAGATGTGAACTGGAAGTCAGGTCAACTTGCAGGAGTCTCCTTCCTGAGCTCAGATTGTCTGCAGGTGCCTTTAGCCAATGAGCTATCTCACTGGCCCACACTGTAATTTTTCTGGTGGCCACCAGAACGTCCATAAATGCTGGGCAAGCACTCTTAATACAATGCCACAATTCCCTCAGAAGTTATTTATAACAATGGCATCAAATGGCCTGAGAACCCTCCAAGGAGAACGTGACTGGAAGCTGTGCGCTAGGGAAGAAGAGAAATCAGCACCAAACAGATACCATGCCTGCCCATCAAGTGACACAGTGGCCCACCTGAGCACCATCACAAGCAGACATCAAACCAAGAGTTCTGGAAAGAAGCAAGGAGAGAGCAGTAAGTGTTTTCCTCAACGTCAGAAGACACTGCTGGCAGACACCTTACACATTTCTAGTATACATAGAAGGGAGCAAATTGCCATCTGTTTTTAGGGTTATTTGAAAGGAAAGACTCACCAAGGGGGAAAAAAAAATCTGTTCTTAAAATTTGCCCTGTTCTCATAGTGGTTAACTTCACAGTGAAATTTAAAAAATCACTAGAAAGAACCAGGGATGAGAATGAGAGTCTTCAGTCTCATGTGTGAAAACTGTGACACACATCACAGTAAACTACATACAAAGTTCTGTGTGATCACCACGCATCCTAGACATTAGCAGGGTCAACAGACCATTCCAAACAATTTTTGCCCCAATAAAACCCTACAGTGCAAGTGAAATGGACCAATTCTGTTAAAAAACTATTCCAAAACCGACTTAGAAGAAACAAATCAATGCTAACGCTGTATCTCCTAAACAAATTTCATTCATAAAGACTTTCCTGAAAGTGAAGTTCCAAGCTGACCACTGGTAAATTAACCTTGCCCACCACTTCAGTGAGAAATAACACAAAGCCACTCTGAGGAACACTTCTAACTTATTTTAATATCTCAGTGCTACTGATAGCAGCACCTAAGAAGTTATAAGAAAAACAAAACAAAGTATTCTTCATGATTACTGACACAAAAGTTCTTAAGAAAATACTAATGAGTGGAACTCAGCTCTTTCTCTATGAGAGAAGACAGCACTGAGAGGTAAAGGCACACATTCTCACACAGAGAACAAAGATTTGTTTCTATGACAGTGATCACAGAAGCCAATACTGCCTCTTAAGAGTTATGTTTATTTTGTGTATGAGTGTTTTACCTGCATGTATATATGTACACCACATTTAAACTTGGGATACAAGGAGATCAAAGAGGGCACTGGATCCCCTGGAACTGGGGTAATGAATGGTTGTGAGTTACCATGCAGCACTGGGAATTTAACCAGGGTCCTGCAGAAAGTGCTCTTAACTGATGATAAATCTTTACAAGCCACAATACTTTTTTAATGTATTTATTTATTACTTACACAGTGTTCTGCCTGCATGTACACCTGCATGCCAGAAGAAGGCACCAGATCTCATTATAGATGGTTGTGAGCCACCATGTGGTTGCTGGGAATTGGACTCAGGACCTTTGGAAGAGCAGCCAGTGCTCTTAACCTCTGAGGCATCTCTCCAGGCCCCATACCATTTTTAAAAGCTACTAGAATAGGAGCTGGAGAGATGGCTCAGCAGTTAAGAGCATTGGCTACTTTTCCAGAGGACCTGGGTCCCATTTCCAGCACCCACATGGCAGCTCACAATTGTCTGTAACTCAAGATCCAGTGGATCCAACTCCCTCATGCAGAGTTTCATGTAGGCCAAACACCAAATGTACGTAAGAATAAACAAATAAATTTTAAAAGCTACTAGTATAAACAAGTAAACTTAGCCAGATCATAAGACACATAAATAATATATTTAAGTGTGTTTTAAAATCTGCCATTTTTATATGGTATTATAACTAACTAAAGTCTTAAAAACACTTTACTGTGGTGTAGTGGCTCAGACCTGTAATCTCATCATTTAAGAGGCTGAAGCTAGAGGATGGGGAGTTTAAGGCCAGTCTGGGATACACAGTAAGACCCTATCTCAAAAACCAACCAATCACCACTGTTGAAATTAGCACAAAGTTTAATCCAGTTCTGGTAAGACCTCTACACTGTTAACTGAACACTGACCAAGAGATGTCTGTTCTTCCAGATACCATTATTTAAATTTGTATTCCCAGACACTAAAATTTGTTATCACCTGCAGAAATAAAGAATACTGAACCTACAACAGCTGTTTACCTGTCAGAGATAATCAGGAAGAAGGTGTGGTCATGTTATTTCAGTGTCCACATATTCATAGGCTCCAGTAAAAACAAACAGGTAACACAAGGAGGGGAGGGGAGAAACACTCCAGGGAAATTACAAAGCACAATGAACGACAGCCTGGGAAAAACAAGGGTCTGTAAACAGCCAAGGGCTGCAGGTGTGCTCAAGGGGCCTGCGGACTGGCAAAGCCTAGCTCACTACAGTATGCCAGTCTGAGGTTCTTGGTAAACAATGTTCTTCACAGCGGCCCTGGGGTGAGAAAAGGCACCTGTGGACTCATTCATTACCCTATCAACAACAAAAGAGAACACAGGACGTTTCAGAATGGGCAGGGTCTTCTCATCCAATCAAAGATACCAGGCATGTAAAGTACCCCATTTCCAAGGATGGGATCCTGCTACTAACCATATCCTAGTGTCTCCAAGCAACTGTTAGACCAAAGTTACAAGTATGTCCCCGAGCACTCTGTAAAACCTTCACATAGGTTTAATGCAGGTTTTTCCTTGATACTCAAGCTAGCCTTGAACTCGAGAACTTCCTGCCTCAGCCTCATGAGTGCACGCATCAGGGCAGCAAGACATAAATTATTACAAACTATCAAAAACATTTTGAAAAGGGGCACTTATTATTATAGAACATTTTCAACAAGAAACAAGCTATTCTCCTTGCAGAGAGACAAGACCATGTTTATTCATGGACTCATTATCACGTCCCAAAATTCTATACCCCTCACTTTTTAATTAGTTCATGACTCACTATCTCAGTTCCTCACTCCTTTTTCCCCCCTCTCAAATAAGACAACACATTCTATTTCTACAACAAAACTTTGTCCTGTTTGTTTTCTTCTTTTTCTGTGTATCTCAGATGAAGTTAACAATATGAATTTTACAGTTGCCAAATGATGCCAGAAACATCTGTGGACTAACTGGCCCAGAACAGCTTTGGGTAAATCCCAAAGATCAAAGCACTTCAGCCTTAACAAGTCTCATTATCTTGTCACCTTGACCTGAAGACAAACTATTCCTCTCCCTTTTCTCTGCATCATAATCCTTTGAGTAATTTTCACATCTTTGAAGTGCTGATAACATTTAAATAAGGTCCTCCTCCGGACACGTTAACACTTGCACTTCAAATAGAAAGCGTAGAAGGGGAAACAACTGGTGTAGCACCCCTTTACAAACATCAGTGGGCTGGTTTTCTTGGAAAACCAGTGAGAATGGATTCCCTTACTCTTCCTACCCTGAAGTAGCATGAACTGGCTGCCAATGGTTGCCTGCTGAAGGCTGACATGAGTTGGTGATCAGCAACTCCTGTTAGCAGTGCTTTCACTAGAAAAGTCTGACCAAAGAGACATGAAGTCCTAAGGAGGATGAGTTGGTAATCTGTCTGCTGGAACCTGGGCCCAAGTGGTGTTCAGACAAAATTCCATTTAATCCTGACATTGTCCCAAAACAGGACTCATCTGACCCCCAACTCTATAGATGGGGACTATAGCTAAGCCACCTCACCTAGGTCAAGCTCCACTAAAGTGTGTCAGAGCCCACTCATGACTTCAAAGCCCATATTCAACAGTAGGCTGCAGTCAGTTTTCCTTGGTGTTAGCTGCCTGACTTTTAAAGTCACCAGGACCCTGAGTACCTCATACTTGCTATGCTTTACCTGGCTGCAAGACATAGGCCTCGTCCTCACAGGGAATGAGAGAGCACTAACGTACTACAAGACAAGTCCAGAGAAAGACATATTTAAGCAGACCTTTATGCTTGCTTTTTGAAGATTACATGAATACTGAAGTATGCAGGAGTATTTATTACCTGGGCTTACAGTCAGCTGAAAGCAATGAAGCTTGTTTGGATCAGGAAAATGTACTTTACATGTACCTGCAAAAGAAATCGCCATTAGGAAGGTCTGGAGTGAGCAGCTGTCCACATGCTGAGCTAACCTCTGAACACACAGAAGGCAGTGGTGCTGACTCACAAGGCAACCAATGTGTCCCTGCACTCTAATGTAGCACACCCAATAGCAAACGAGAGTTCTGTTGTTTTTGCCATTCAACCTCTTAGCCTAACTAGTTAATTCCAAATCAAGGCATTTACTTCAACTTTTAAACAGTCACTAAAGAGTTCTTTTCATTAGAGAATTGTGCTATTTACTTTGAAGGAAACTATTTCCCAAAGACATTAAGGAATGTGGGTAAAGGCTAACTAATCATGGAAAAACCAGGTCAAACGTTTCAAATTAGTCAGTCCCCCAGAGATTCACACAGACATGCATGCTGATCAGAAGTGAAGTTAGAAAGAAGTGAGATTCCTAAGAGCTGCCACCCAGCATTTACCATAACATTACAGGAAAAAATAGTCTCAGTGATCCACCTGCCTGTGTCTCCTGAGTGCAGGGTGCTCATTTTTAATCCTGGCACCTGGGAGGCAAAGGCAGGCAGATCTCTGAGTTTAAGGCCAACCTAATTTACATAGTGAAACACTGTCTCAGAAAATCAAAAAACAAAAACTTTACACCATAACTGGTAAACTGGTAACTCAGCTTGCTTTATGAAATGATGCTTTGCTGAGTCAAGCAACGTTCTAGGCCTACCAATCACCAAGCAAGAAGGAGCCTGAGTCAGGACAAGCTCTCAGCAAGAAGAGCCACCACACAGTCCAGAGAAGTTGTCTATTGCACTTATCTGCCTCCTTCACAAAGGATACAGAAGGACAACTATCACTTATATAAATGCTCTGGAAATTTTCTTATTGTAACTCAGAAGACACACTTATAAATTCTCTAGTGTATCTACTAACGTTACTGCTTACAACTCCTATTTGTTCAGTTCTACACTGATATAATATTCAACAAAAACAGGATTCAAAAATAATTAAAAACAGCCTTCAAGACCATCTAGTCCAATGTTATTGATTGGGACAAATGACAGTAAGGTTCAGGCTATTCATGAAAGCAAGGTTAGCCCCAAAGTAGTAAATGAATTCACAATTTTACTATTGGTCTTGTTTCATTTTGGTATTTAATGTGCAAGTCAGACATTAAACATTGAGATAAAAAAGAGCAACTTGAAGACTGGTGGGCTTTCTTTTCTTTACTGGGGTGTGGGGGTAGGGAGCCCTCAGTCTACAAAGGTCAGAGCAGTTTCTGAAATACACTACCACATTCTTCCTCTAGAAATAGAGAGTCAAAGGAAGAGGTCAAGACTTCCTGCAAATCACATTTAGAACTATGTATACTGATAACAGGCTTTATTCCCTTATCTTTTCAAAGTTATTTTTTAGGCTAGCTAACAAAATATTGGGTCTCATCATGGCATCTTCATGCATCCATTGTTCTCAATTATTCCTCTTCCCTGCTAGCCTTCTCCCAATATCCCGTCAAGCTGGTTTCCTTTCTTCTTCCAGTTACTTCCAGCTTCCTTTTCTATGGAATACATCACCCTATTTTGCATCTGTCTTAGTCTCTTCTATCTTATGATCCTAGTTTTGTGAGCCCCCCCCAGATTCATGCATGTTTAATTTTAAATTTAGTTTTTGCATATGAGAAAAAAACATGGAGCTTATCTCTCTTACCATAAAGATCTTCAGCTACACCCACTTTCCTGAAAATGACATGATTTCATTTTCCTTCACAGTTGCATAAAATTCTATTGCATGTATGTATGCTCTATTTCCTGGCTAAACACATTTGTACAAGTAACTCTGTACTGCATTACCTTAGGGTTCTTGGGGTATATACCTTATAGCTGGGTTATATCAAAGTTCTTTCTTTCATTGTTTTTAAGAACTTCCATACTGATTTCTACAGTGGCCATAAAAGGTTATTCTCATCAAGAATGAGTAGGGGTCATCTTTCCCCACATCCTCTGTATTTAGCATGTCTTGTCATTTGTTTTCTTGATAACAGCCATTGCAACTGGGTTGAAATTATATTCCAAAACCATTTTAATTTGCATTTCTCTTATGGCCAAGCATGTTAAACACCTTTTCAAGAATTTACTGCCAATTTGTATTTCTTTTGAAAACTGTCTATAAAGTTCACTAGCCCATTTACCGATTGATCTGGGTTTTTGTTGTTTAGTGTTGTTTTGTTTTCAGTTCTTTATATATCCTTATTAATCCCTTGTCTGATGCATAGTTGGCAAAGATTTTTTTTAATGATTTAAAATTATTTGTGTGTGTTTGTGTGTACATGATGTATGTAGATTCTCATGCCATGGCACAAAAAAAAAAAAAAAAAAAAAAAGGAAGTCAGAAGACAACTTACTTTAAGGAGTTGGTTCTTTCGATCCACCTTTACATGAGTTCCAGGGATCTAACTCAAGTCTCCAGGCTTGCATGGCAAGTGCCTTTACCTTCTGAGCCATCTCACAGACCATGGCAAAGAATTTTCCCTCTATTGTGTAGGCTGCATATTCTTGCTGGTAATTGTTTCCTTTGTGTTGTGTTCTAATTCTACTCGTTAACTCTTAGGATTATTTCCTGAGTTACTGGATGACTTTCCAGAGAATCCTGTCTATCTTAGTGTTTTACTTTGACCTTATTTTGAAAATAGAAACAATATCCTACTGTTGTAGGTAAGAAAAAAGATGAAGGCTTACAATATACTTCAATCACTATTTGAGGTTGGCATTGCCCATTTGGACTCTTTTTCTTAAAGTTATAAATACGGAATCTCTGAAGTGGATTAGCCTTCCAAGAATACAAAAATTAAGACAACTTTTAAAAATTAACTAATCTACCAAAATCAAATAACTAACCTTAAAGCTCAGGAAAGAGTAAATTAAAAAATTATGTTTATATTATATATCACATAATATATATATGCAATATATATTAAATGTAAAAATGTTAACTTATCCTTATATAAAACCTGTGTTAAACATATCCTTATATATAAAACACACACACACACACATATATATATATAAAACGTAGAGCTCAGAACTCTAGAATTGGTTTTCTTCATAGACAACAGGATCTATCTAAGGAGATGTACATTTTCAGAGTCACTCCAATGCACCTGTACATACGGAGCTCTGAAGTTACTCTACAGCTCCTAACCACACCATATAGAAAGTTATCCTTATGGGCCTGTAAATATTTTATAAAGATTTTAACCAGACAGCAAAGAATTAGCCTGTGGTGGCTTGTTTCTATTTTAGCATGATGAACGACAGATGTGTGGAAAACATGAGGGGAAAAGCAGAGAGAAAAGGTAAAAAGAAGTGTGCCAAATATGTGCTATCTGATATCATGGCCAAAGGATGGGAAAATAGGCTCACATCCGGCAAAGACTTTTCCAAATCCGGCAAGACTCACATCAAACACACAAGATAGTTCTAAGGGGAATCTTTCTGTGGTCTCTAATGAAAAAACACTTTGAACATGCATGTGAGTCAGGGACAGTGGAGAGACTGGTGAAAAGATGAATGTGAACATACATCTGTGAGTCAGAGGCAATGAAAAGTCTGATTGGACTAGAAAACAGAAAATCACCGTATGATGCTTTTTATAGGAAAGCGTTCTAACTAACACAGGCAGAGACAGGCAAACAAGGCTTATCAGCCGGCTGCAGGCCTTTACAGCCCCGCTTGTCTATCACATCCATGCACATTTACTTTCCTGGGCATTTTAAAGCACACCCTTTGACTTTTTGCTTATTAGGGAGAAATGTGTTCCACTCTCTTCCCCACTCAGTGTCTGGGATTGAAACCAAGGCATTATACATGTTAGGCAGGTCCTCTGTTACTAAGCCATCCCCCGCTTCACAATTAACCTTTCAGTAAGATTCCCAGACAAAACCTTCAGTTCTGAATGGAAGCAACTTTGAGGTCAATCCACAGAATTAAGATGTTTCGGCTGTGAACCATAGAAGAAATATATTTTCTGTCATAACCCATTCTTCCCCCACAGTAACGTCAGACATCAAAAGTAACTGGTCAGGGGGCTGGAGAGATGGCTCAGTGGTTAAGAGCACTGGCTGCTCTTCCAAAGGTCCCGAGTTCAAGTCCCAGCAACCACATGACAGCTCACAAACGTCTGATACCATTTTCAGGTGTGCAGATGCACACGCGGGCAAAGTACCCATATATATATATATATATATTGTTTTTAAAGCAATTGTTCAGCTTGCCCAGAAGGTGCACACCTTTGATACCAGAACTAATATGGCAGAGGTAAGCAGAGCTATGTGAATTTGAGGACAGCCTGGTCTACACAGTAAGCTCCAGGCTAGCCAAGACTGCACAATGAACTTTAACAATTTGTCTGTGCCCTCACAAGCTAACTTCACAACCACCCTTAGACTTAGAACTACTTATAAACCAATTTTATAATAAAAAGCTTAACAAAAAAATATTAAAATGGTCAAAGCTTTCAGGCTTTTATAGAACATATGAAATGTAAAATCTGGGAGAAGATTAATGATAGAAAAATAGAAATCTGATATCTGTTATCCAAGTGCACAGACAGGCCCATATGTCAGCAGGAAAGACAGAGCAAGGGAGCAAGCACATCGGTGGGAGAAAGGCCGAGTAGCTGCCTTTTCTCAAATATAAAACAAGCCACCAATAAACACCTTGGGAACCAAATGGGAGCACACTCGTTTAACAAACAGGGCTGTGTGCTCCTGACTCACACTCCTTTCCACTCAGGGAGAGGGTGGAACAGGAGGCAAGGAACTAAATACAGCTCTGTTTCACGGACACAAGAGAACATGCTACATATGCAATTCAGAAGGACTAAAGCATTCGTTGTTTTTTGAGACAGGGTCCCTCTATGTAGTCCTAGCGGTCCTGGAACTCTCTGTGGTGACCTGCCCCTGCCTCCGAAGTGCTGTGGTTCATGGCATGTGCAATACCTGGCTACAGCCTCATTTTATTAGATCTTGCAAAAAACTCTTGTATAAAATTAAAATTCATTCCTAACATACACAAAAATAGGCTTTTGCTATGCAAAGTTATTAAAAACAAGTTTTCTTCATGTCATCATTATATAGTACTAATTTGATTGGAGTGCTATACTTACAAGGTAAATTAGCTTCAAGTTCTGCAACCTCTGTAGAAATAAAGAGACTGTGGTTAATAGTAATCTTTATAATGTCAGTTTTAAATTAGCAATTCCCTCTAGATTACAGAAGAAAAAAGAGTAAGCTAGATGAATTGAAACTAGCTTAGAATTTATAGTTTAAGCCTAACTACACACACACACACACACACACACACACACACACACACACACACACA